AATAATAATAATAATAATAATAACAACAATAATAATAATAATAATAAAAACTGGAGGCGACGTGTTCCCCCAACATCCTTCCTGCCCTTTCAACGGTAGCGTACAAACTGTTGCAATACCCGGAAAGTTAATGCAATTTCGCGGATCCATTCGCCAGACAACACGCTGTATCAAGGTCTGCTCAAGCGAATTCAAATCGTGAACAATCAGTGATAATTACCGACTTACCTCGGGCCAGGCCGATGCTGCCTTGCACAATATCGCTAAGGTCATGTTCGATGTGGACAAAATCCACAAGTAGGAGGAACAATTACACGCAAGGGGGTCAGGGACACCTGGACATAAGCCACACAAGCACCACGCCTACTCGAGGGGGCTGCGGTCACATGACATTCTCTCACATTACCCGTCCCTTTCGGTGCCATATCGGACAGTCCGCTTGTGCCGTCCGCTACTCGATGCATTTCGATTAAATCTGGTATCGTGGTGGTGGATCCCGGGGGGTGGGTTTGTGGGTACGACGCTCTTAGTAGCTGAACTGCACAGCGTCGACATTTTATGACAACTGATGATCTGGAAAGGATAATGCTATCTTGGTGTCTGTCTGGAGTGACTGAGGATAACGACTGGAACCCTCAAACGGGATAGTGTCACGGCGGAGATTCGAAACGGCAGCCTACCGAATAGAGGTCAAAAGACGTAGCGGGGAAAAGAGATATAGCTGCACAGATTCTTAACCTCGGCACTTAAGGGAGGTGAGTGGACAAGTTCATGCTCCTTGCTGCTTTAACTGCGAGGGGAAGGGCCCCTGGCACCCACAGGACAGGAGGCTGGGTGGACCCCAAAGGTATTCTGTACTCATACAGAAATCGAACGGCAACGTGTACCCTAGTCACTGCACTGACTGAGCTATCCCGGCTATTAGCTGACAGTGGATACCAGCTAGAGCCAGATTCACAAACTATTTCTCTTGAGAACTACTTTAATATTATCCTCCCATTCGGAAAGTCTCATAAGCTGCCTCTTTCCCCACCATTTTGAACAAAATGCTACACGTATTTTCCTCATTTCCTTCCATGCGTGTTGTTAGCTAACCATTACATTCCACCCCCCTTTACCTAATCACACAAAATATATAAATAAAAAATTAAGCTGCTGATTATACACTTTCCCTTATCTCTAGTAGGTTCAAACATGCACTTTCCTCCAATCTCTTCTCGCGCAGCGAGAGGCCAAGTTGCATGAGTAACTCCTTCTGGCGGGTCCTTCTCAAAGAGCCAATAGCCGCTTGGTTAGTCAGGAAAATCACCGCAAATTAGACAACCCGAACGCTCATTACCGTGTTCACAAAAGCCCGATAAGCCCAAACGGGTGTAAAACATTTCATAACAACCTACTTTTTAGCCTACTTTCCTTATTTTGGAAAAAAGAAAAGAACAGACCTACGAGATCGCCTTGGTGTGTGTCTGCTTGTATACCCCTAACGACTCTTGAATGCTTGAAGCAAACAAAAATCTCTTGTCCCTGCTGGAAACTGAAACCCAAGTCCCTGATCATCCAACCCACCTGCCGACTGATCCGTCCTATTACAGTAAGCACAGCAACAGGGATATGATAAGGCAATCTTATGGCATAACCTCAAGGAGGATACCTCTGTGGAGGGCTACGCAAGAACAGGAACATAATATTAAAATGGCTGCACAGAATTAGAGTGTAAACATTTGATTTATTCCATGGCTCAATTTAATGTCTAATGACAAGCTTCTGTGATGGGACTTTTGGTTCGAAAACAGCAGACTTCCTTGATTATCAACTGTTCTAGGGTACCCTGCACCATAGCATTTGATCACCTTAACATTACAAAACGAATCCCTTCTCTCTGAGTCCCATTGCCATACAACAAACACTCTGAACACATGCACCATCAGTAACAAAAATTCCCTCCAACGATAAACACAGCCTTGGCACCATGAGCACGAAGCAGCCACAAGAGCACTATGTCAAACAGGCACAACGAGAGAACACTGAGAACAGCTAAATTTGGAAAATTGTTTATATATTTCTATACACAGGGGCCTCTTCATTGACTGAACTAAACATTGCTACCTCCAATGAACTAATGCAGCTTCATAAACTATTTATTATAACAGCAGCAAAAACAACAGATTTAATGTCATTCGGTTCTTTCATCTAGTTGTGCGAGGCTGTACACGGTTTTAACATCTGGTCACTGTCTACAATTCCTTTTTTACATTTTTCTTTACTACCTATCTATCCATCCATCTAATTCTCCTCATTTTATTTTCCCATTTGCGCTTAACTCTATTTAAACAGTTGGATATTCTTTATCTATGTTCTGTTTGTGCAGTCTTTATATACCATTTCGCCCTTCGTGTTAACCAACTTCTTACCTACAAATTAGGTCCTCCACATTTTTGTCTCTGGACACTTCTGCAGCATGTGTTTAGCGTCCTCCTATCCTACATATAAAGAGCAGAAAATTGTCATTCCTCCTCTTCACCCTCCTAACTTCATCTATCATTTCCTCCATTTCTAGGGCACCATTCGCTGTACTGTTCCTTACCCCCTTTCTGACTCACTTCAAGAGAAAGAAATGAGTCATTTATAACTACACAAACTCAGAAAGTCTCATCAGAATTTCTCATAGCAGAACCCAAAGGTTCAACATCGCTAATACCAGAGCCTGCCACTGAACATATTACTGAGCCAGTTCCATCCACCTCCCATCCTCAAAACCCTATGGTCTACTTTTTTTTATTGCTAGTGGGGTGAGACTAAGTCCCATGTACTGCGGCCACTTCTGACCTATTGTACCAACCCCACATGATAGGTGAGGATGATTGTGGAGCAATTGGTGGAATGAAGATTGGCAGGGGAAACCGAAGTACTCGGAGAAAACCTGCCCCAGCTCCACGTTGTCCACCACAAATCCCACTTGACCAGACCCGGCATCGAACCCGGGCTGCCGCAGTGGGAAGCCAGTGACTAATCGCTTGAGCTATGGCGCGGCCTTATGGTCCACCTCACTAAATAACTCTCTGGTAGCAGAACCCAAAGGTTCAACACCGCTAGTACCAAAGCCTGTCATTGACACGATCCTGAGCCAGTTCCATCCACCTCCCATCCCCACAGCTCATTTCCCTAAGTTCCATCTTACTAATTACCTCAGTGGTTTCATCTTACATATACGAGTATAAAACAAACAGGTTGGTGACGCAGTAATGCTTTGGACTTGTGCTCAGAAGGTGCTCAGTTAAAATCTCGGCTGGGGCATCAGCTATTCTGAGGTATTTATGGTTTTTTCAGTCCTTCCAGGCAAATCCCAGGACAGTACCACAATGGGACCATAAGGACGTCCACTAAATCCTCTTTCGAATTCAACTATCCCCCAGTCATTCAACACTATAGTCTGCAATACTGAAAAGTGTTGTGAACTAACACACTATAAGGCACTTACATATACAGCAATTTAAAGCTGATTTCTTCATAGAAACTTCCAACTCTATAACGGGTTCTGGTAATGGTGCATTGTGTTTCAGGGTGATAGGTTTTGCGACTTTGTTCATTGCATAGTAGTCTGAACAGAAGATACTGTTTTGGAAATGGGATTTATTTCTTTCCAGATTAAAAGTGGGGAAAGGTTTTGATCTGGTGGTGTCCTGTGACTAAGATTAGCTCTTTCTAACAGACTTAACTGAACAGGTGCCGCCCCCAACCTTTTCAACTGAACACTGAAAGAGCTCCAGTACTGAATATGTTGCCTTCTGTTCAGAATACTGGACAATATACATAGTTCGTAAACAGAGCAATGATTAAAGCTTTCAGGTGAGACAGCAAACCAGCTGACAAAGTTTGTCTTCCAAGTGAGAAATGGGGCAAACTGGTGAGATTATGTAACAGCTAAGCAACATCATACTACCTGCCATATCAAACTAACTCCATGGTGCAGTCCTTCTTCAGAACTTGTGCAAGAAGTCCCTATATTTTATAGAACCCAAATGTTCATCACCTTGTTCACAAGAGTCTGAAATATATCCCTGTTCTTTGCCTACTGCATTAAATCCAAATGCAATGNCTTCTACCCTGAAGATGGGGGCGATACGTTCCTCCGAAACGTCGGTTAACACCACATATACACGGTGCCAAATCCCAGAAGACTGCTTTCTTCATAGTCACCGCCGTGAAAGCCTCAAATCTTACAGACGTATTTATCTTTCCATACAAATTCACAGGTTACTTATCTTATCCACACTTACTAAGATATCACTGGGTTGCTATCCTTCATCTAATCCCACCAACCCCTGGCTTTTATTGAATATATAAAACTGCACAAATTATATAACATGGGTGAGCATGTATGTTTCAATGTCTCTAATCTTAACATACTGAAACATTTCACTCTCTTAATATATTTAAACCTAATTCTATAACCAGAATTACAGCAACAAAAAAACAAATTTTACAACTAATCCCAGACACAAAGCATATGTATGTAGGTATATACACATGCGCATGTGCACGCACGCGCGCGCGCGCACACACACACACACACACACACACACATATATATATATATATAAACGCTAAACACAAACTTGTTGAATATTCCAAAACCAATTTGTGTACTAAAAAAATTTTGCCTCTTACAAACTATACTGTGAAAACTGTTAACACAGTAACCATATTACAAAATTTGGAATGGTTTTGTATATCAGCTGCACCTGATTTCAGTGAACAATATGCAAAGTTAAGACATGTCAAAACAGTTTACATTCAACCTAAGAGCCATAAATAAAACCAGAATTCAGTACCACATTACATAAAATTTATGTTTGGGCACCTAACAAAAACTGTATTACAGCCATTTATGGAGCGGAGATTATTTCACAGCTGTTTTTCGGGTATGTGTGTCAATATAGACAGAATCGTCATACAACAGAATTAATGTTTAGCTCACAAAATGAAAGCCTCTACTTACGGTTCTGCTTCAATGGATTTCAACTTTGCAACATAGTTTGATGGGATATATCCTTCTTGTTTTGTAGCCTTACTTCTTGCTAGCCACCAATCACCCTGAGTGTCATTCAAGATTTCCAAATGTTCTCCCTTTCTAAAACTTAAATCTTCATCTGTCCTTGCATCATAATCATATAATGCCACAAATATTTTTGCATTTGTACTACCAGAACTATCTGGTTCTGGAATGGGTGGCATAGGGCCATTCCTTCCTTGTTCTCTACTGCCACCAACACCTATAGGATCAGCTCCTCCAGTCATAGGAGGATTTACGGGACTTGGAACATTAGGATCTTTTATAAGAGAGGGCAGTTCTTTTTTCGGTGTGGCTCTTTGACGGCTGAAACAATTTCCCATTTTGACACTCCGATAACTGTTGAACTACGCTGAGTGCCGACCTCAGGGTCTTCAAAATGCAGTATCACAAATCATTAATTATTACCCTCACCGCCCTGTACTCACAATACACGACACACACACCATCACTAACAATGTATTTTGTAATGCCAAAACACCATTAAACGGTGATCACAATCACGAAACCTCTGGTGTAATACAAAAAGTACACCAGCACAAACCGAACATCATTCACCATCCGTTCACTCTTATCAAGGCCCACTATGCATTGCAACTTTCGCCATGAATGGAAATTTCTTTCATACTCTCTGGATGAGTAGTTGCTTGTATAACATCTACAATTCGTAACTCTACAGCTTGCTACTAATAGACATTTCTAAGCAAAATTAATGCAGTTAATATATATCACCATGTATCATAGTATATTATCAGCACATACGCGAATTTATAACACAAAAGCATTGTGTGGTGTGTACCAATTAAGACGTACAATATATATCTACAGCTTCATGAATCCATGACAAAACCATGTTAGTAGTTGCTACTGCCATCTGTCAATGTACTTAAACACTGCATAGAGGGCCAAGATTATCCCATCTATTACCTTTGTAATTTGAAGTAGTGATAGACCTCTACAATATCTTTTGATATCCTGGGTTATCCATACTTGTATCTCCTATTATAATCCACCGTAATCACGACCTTGTAAATAATAGTGTTGGTTGTGATCTTGGGTCTACAAAACTTCCGACAATGATGAATTACATACCTCCAAAACCAAAACACTTCACAAATCCAGAGTCTAAAAACCCAAAGGAAAAATTACTATCAACCATGAATCATCTAATGTACCTAAAATCACTGCTATTATTATTGTTTCATGCAATAGCTTAGCTACATGTTTTGGCCTTCTTGCTCAAAATCAGGGTACACTAATTCCGGTAAAACTGCTATTATATTGTAAATTATGGGCAATATGTTAGCAAGTTTTTGTATTGTACCTAGGTTTAAAGGCTTATGCAGCAAATTACTAAATTTTTATATGATTACAGAACTATTGAAAATTATTACAAAATTTACAATACACCATACCATATATCACTATTCTACTGTCCAGTTTCTAGTTAGGAATTCATTCAGAGGCTTATTTGTCAATGTATTACATTCCTCAAATTACATAAGCTGCTGTTAACATTCCATACAAACTGTGATACGTGCTGATTAATTCTATTATTTCACTGAAGTTGGACTTTCTGACCGTCACAGCAAGCCTATTTAGGAAGGTTTCATATCTTGTGTCTATTTAGGACTATTTAGGATTTGTCTTTTATATCTGTCTTTGTACGCACATCTTGTGTTTTAGATGTGTTTGGCATAGTCTCAAGCATCTTTGCCATGGCATATTCCATATACACATTCCTTCTGCCTTTGTTGGATATTACAACCTGCCTATCTGTCCTATAAATAAAACAGCAAATATGAAAAGTGTGTGGGAACATCCCACATTATCACGCATTTTCTGCAACGCACACTCTTCACATCACTTTTCACACTCACATGCGCTAACCAATCAAATTTCTCCAAACGTTCACATTTATACTGTGCTCGCTGTTAGCCCTGCATCTACATCATCAAGTGTGCTAGCCAATCAGCGCCCTGCAAATTCTTCCTCCTCAATTTCAAGTTTCGCTCCGCCCACTGAGCAGTGTATAAAAAGGAGCAGCCGCGAACCGGCAGCATCAATCTGACTTCAGTCTACGATCAAGCCACACTCAAGCAACATCAGCCAGCAGGCTTCGTCGCCAGCGCTCGGTCTTCGGAGGCATCACCAGGCTGCACCAGGCACGACTGCCTCAGCCCTCCGGCTCTCACACCCGATGCACTGGGGCACCTCGCCTGGACTCGCCGGTGGTCGTGTCCCTGTCCGACTCACTGGGCATCTGGCGTAGCCACTGCCTCATCACTCCTCCGACCGCGCTGCGCGACCATGCGACTTCAACTCACCTGCCGCACGGCGATCAAGCAACCTCCAGCAACGGCCACGCTGTGGCCAGTCAAATCACCGCAACTAACCTCTCTCCCTACCGGTGTGCGCCGCGCTACCTCACCGGTAAAGCATCTCAGCAACTATGGTCCTTTCCAGGACCAACAAACTGTTCCGAAGCAGTGGGTTGTCATGGGAGTAATGAGGAACAACAAAGGCAAAACCCCACAAGTGAAATATATATGGGATCTGGGGGTTCTCATGGTGATTACTATGAAGAGTATGATCTTCTTTGCAGTAACACCTTGTAACTTGGAGGCAGTCCAACATTTCGCAGACATATATTGCCTCCATCCTCAGGATCAAAGATTAAGCCTGGTTTTTTACCTGCTTCTGCTGGTTTCTTGCTTGGGATAATCTTAAACCCCAAAAATGGAAGTGACATGTTCCTCTAATACTTCAGCCTCTCAGCACTACATGATACTACAACCCACAGAACCATACTCTTCAACGGAATATGTAAGTTACAATGCCTTGGAATCCTGATTACTGTATACTCAACAGCAGTTTCACTAAAATGAATGTATACAGCATGGTAATCACCAACTAGGCTGAAATAAACAGCTAAGTTATTGTATATATTAACTATTTTACACAAGGTTGCATTGATGGTGCATATACGTGTACTAAAGAAAGTATAACATGATATACCAACTACAAATTAACAACATTAGTACAATTTGGGTTCAATATTGAACACCTTTGGTGAAAATTCCAGAATTTTTTTGCCTCTCTGTTCCTACTTACTATGACCTGGAAAACTTCTGTGCTCAGTGCTGCACATCTTTTGTTTTCTCAAGCCAATTACTGACTACTTTTACATAGTTCCTATAATTATCAAAACATGGCAGCACCATACAGGACCATGAATTATGGTTTTCTAGATACAGTAATATGCAAGTCATATGTAAGGGTACAAAAATTGCATTTTAGCTACCAATAAAGGCATTAATTAGCGTCAATATCTTCATAACTGAGACAATGAAGAGACCCTTGCACCATTCAGTGAGATGTAATCTTGTTGGTAGTCTCAAGCATTTCACTTCCTGTACAAAAGAATGAAAGACGAACAGTAACTTCAACAGAGCAACTGATACAACTGATTCATTGAAACTTATTTTTATATTTCCTTATTTTTGGTACCGGTAAAGGGGCAGGAGCAGAGGGGAGGGGGAACAGCTTCATACTTATAACAAAACATGAGAAATGCAAAACAGCAGAAGAGGAAACCAACTTTCAGAGTCCCAAAATGTTTATTTTTGCAGGCGTCCATTAGCTTGTTGATGACATGTCACTGTTGGGGGGAGGTGGATGATGAAGTATCCATGGGCGATGGTGCTGCTGTTTCCTCTATGGCTGTAGGCTTGGTATTTTCATTCTCTGCCACCTCAAGGATTCGTGGTCCATACAGAAGTACGTAAGCACAATGCCAATCACCTGTTGCGACCAAGAGGGAAGTAAAATATCTTTGCAGATTACTGGCTTTTTTTGTTACGTGACAGCATGCAGTCTGGTAAAGAGTAACTAACATTTTCCAGCAACCTGTCTAAGAAATTACCTGATATCACATTTAGAATAAAGAAATCTCAGTTTTCTAAGGTTCTTTTTATTATTCCATATCATCAAGTTTTATTTAAAGAGCCTCCTGACAAAAAAATACACATAAGCTGAAACAAGACACTTACCGCCTCCTGATAATTTTAGGACTTCCTCGCATGTAACTGGAGAAACCTGATCATCATCACACTTGAGCCAGATGTCCCCTTTCTGACGAACCCATGCAACATAGTGTCCGCTGGAACTAGAACGCCCACGATGGGTCAGCACTGCCTGTAGCGTGTAGTACCCAGAGTTGTTTGAGCCCAAGTCTGCAACATGTCAAGACAATGTAAGATTTGAGGTTTTCACAGCGGTGACTATGAAGAAAGCAGTCTTCTGGGATGTGGCACCGTGTAGATGTGGCGTTAACCGACGTTTCGCCTCCATCTTGAGGGTAGAATGAACAATAAGAAATCCGCAAGCAAAAGACCGTGAGAACTGGTACAAGCAGACACCGGTTCTCACGGTCTCTTCCCTTGCGGATTTCTTATTGTTCCTTCTACCCTGAAGATGGAGGTGATACGTTCCTCCAAAACGCTGGTTAACACCACATCTACACGGTGCCACATCCCAGAAGACTGCTTTCTTCATGTCAAGACAAGTTCTCACTTAGCTGCCATACCATGTACAAAAATTCTGTTACCACTTGTTACAAATTTAAATGTATAACTGGTGCAGAACAAGATGACACTTGGCTGCTCATATTTTGTTGCAGCTGGAGGGGCGGTACTTATGCTTGTGTCAGCCCTACCCGTCCAAGTATAATAAAGATTAACAGAGTCAGACAGTGAAGTACACCACCTGAACTCTTACCATACTGTATTGGTATAAACCATACCGTCTTCAAACGAGAATGGCTCATGCCTCACTTTCGCTCTACTGGTATCATCTCTGTTGTTCCTGACTTCCTTCTCCTGTTTCTGGGCTTCTTCAACACGTCTGTCTTCGTATTCCTGTAAAACAATTTGATTTCGCAGTACAGTGCTTACTGAATACAGGGGCTACTAAGTAATAAGGATAATAATAATAATAATAATAATAATAATAAGTAATAAGCATGTAATCTGGTACAAGGTTACCAACATTTGAAAGGAACATGCTGCTGCCATCTGCTGATAACGTACCTTGAAACGTGCCCGCATTGGTGTCAATTTCTGCTGTAACTTAGAAGAACAAAGTTCAAATGCATCAAATTCTAATGGAAATTTCACATCTTTTAAAATTTTAGCATTGATTGATTCCTTCTCTTTGTAGTAGAATCTCACAAACTGGACAGTTAGATACGCTGGCAGCCTGCTGATCTTCGACTGAAACACAACACGAACAGTACAAGATTATAATCCAGCTGATGCTAAAAGGTGTAACTTAAGGTTAGAAAGATGGGTTCCAATTTGAAGTGTTCACACTTTCCATCACAAAATTATCACAGATAATAACATATTGTTGTGAAACAATGTGAACATAACAATGTACAAGGCCAAGGAACATTCTCCTTTCTTAGTTTTCATGTTCAACACTTCCATATTTATGTGGGTCATTTAGTAATGGAAGCTTCCCATCTGCACTGTACTCCCAACTACAAGAGAGTAAGACTGTACACCTTCACATACACCTACTTCTGTTCCTAATACAATAATTTAAAATATTATTAAAATTACAATTAAACTCCTACTTGACCAGCCTCAGGCAACTGTTGAAACTGCTACACTCCATCAGTTCTTAAGTTAAAATATTCAAATGTTACTGCATTTTTGTCATTCAAGTTAAAATATATTTGCTTGGGAACATCACTCTTTACATTTCCTTGCACTACCTTCTTCTTGTGGCATCCGTGTTTTCTGTGTTGTTTTGTCTACCCCTATGAATATTGGTATGGTGTCGTTATCGTTGTTATTTTTATGCACCCTTTTTTTTATTGCTAGTGCGGTGGGACTAAGTCCCTTGTACTGCGGCCACTTCTGGCTTATTGTACCAGCCCCAGATGATAGGTGAAGGTGATTGTGGAGCAATTGGTGGAATGAAGATTGGCAGGGGAAACCGAAGTACTTGGAGAAAACCTGCCCCAGCGCCACTTTGTCCATAAATATCACGTCACCAGACCCGGGATCGAACCCGGGCCGCCGCAGTGGGAAGCCAGCGACTAACCGCTTGAGCTATGGCATGGCCTTAGGGCCCCATTACTATACATGTTCTCACACAGTTGCTCTATTTGAGTGTATGTCGCTTTATTGTAATTGTGGGGTAACATACATTACCTTGAAGAGATTACTCAAATATTGAAGTAACCTTTACTTGCAAATAAATCTTGAGATGATGCTTCTAGGAGTAATTAATGCCCATGTGCCAACATAAAAGTACCATAGTACCACTATGGCATTACTTACCGTTTTTGTGTATACAGCGTCCCTTTCAAGTGTTGGTGACTGCTTGGTCAACTGTTCTTGCATTTTCTGAGAATAAAATAAATTCCTTTTACATTTGTTCATATACAGGAAAACTCAGAATAACTTACAGCATTACTGCATTTCTGGACATATTCCATCGTCCAGTATTCTAGAACCCTTTAGAATCTAAGAGAGTAACTTCATTGTCACATTGCACCTCCACTACTCAGCACTGTAAATTGTGCTTGATCAATGGACCTTGAAGTGTTAATGAAATCAAAAGAATCAAATTATGCCTACTCACAGATCTAAGCCCAGAGAGCATATATCTCACATCCTGTGAGATGAAACAGCTGAGCTGCAAGAAATTCTCTTTACTGAAGCTAGGGGGTTCATCTTCAGCTTCAATGCACTTCAACTCACAATCAAATGTTCCCCCAAAATATTGATCCACCAATGACCTGCAACCAGACAGTAAAATTTAACGGCATACACAAACTAAACAGAACTATCATTTGGGATGTTACACCGAGCAGCCTGGCAGAAGCTTACCATTACAGAATGGTGCTCTGTGGGCCATTCGAGTTTAACAAGTCGGCTGCTTGTTTGGCTTAATATTTTGTCTTAGAGATGAAGGCAGTAAGTGCTCCAAACAATGGTAAACTTCTACTGGCCTACATGGTGTCACAACCCAGAAAAGAGCATGTGTCACAGTCACTGGTTTGTAAACCTCAAATCCAACATATACACACTATTTATCATATACAGTTTACTGCTGTTGTTATACTCAATGTTTTCACTCATTTTCAGGTCTCTGTCCACCTTAACACAGAAAAAATCTGATTCTGGGGTGACAGACGAAGATTTGAGGTCCTCACAGCGATGACTGAAGATTACCTGTCATTTCCTGGGACGTGATACTATGCAGTTTAATAGATACTCACCAACATTTCGATCAAAACTGCAAACCTGAAGAAGCATGCTTAAATATGGTCCACTTACTGTCGGACTGATTATGGTACATTTATAAGAACACTCACTTAAATTTTGCTTGAGAATCTGATCCATCTGTTTGTTTCGGTTGGAGCTTTTGTTGCAACATTCTGACTAGTTCTGTCCAGCATTCATTAGCATCTTGCTGGGTGAATCCACCATGTTCACTCTTCTCTGCAAACCGAGGGAAAGCCATGTGGAGGACCTGCAGTAGTATAATTGGGGGGATAGTGGCACCCTTATCCATGGAGTCGTACAAATCTCGTAGCGCAGCTGTGATGGACTGTGCTGGAATCATGCCCCCTGCCATAGTCACTCCTGGAGAAAAACTTATTAGATTAGGAAACACTATTAAACATAATCAGTTACTATTCCAGGCAACTAATTAAACAGTTAATTAACCAACTAAACAACCTACCAACTAATTTTATATCTGCTATCATGTGAAGGCTCTCTGAGGAAACTACATAAGCAGCTTTGGCACTTCTAGCAGGTAGGTGTGCTACAGCAGGGCTTGGCAATCAAAGGGTTAAGGGCCAGCATTCCCATTGGTTTGCTCGCAGCCCTGATCCTAGCCCAACCTTCCCCACATTATATATTAGTTTTCCTTGTTCGGCTCACTGTTCTACCCTGAAGACGGAGGCAGCAATACAGGTATCTATATATCAAACTACACAAGTGTGCATAACAGAAGACAGTAATGTAAATACTCTTGTGTGTGAAGGCCTCAAGTCTCATCTAACTATTCAACTGATGACATGGAACTGAAAATACATTTTCATACTCCTCTAAGATAAAATTAATTTGAACAGAATCAAGATGAAGACATTCACTGAATTGTAATGCTGACAACTGGAATTTTGGAACTCTTCAAACTGCAGCGACATTATGTTATCTGTTGACGATCATTCTGCGCTTGCATCTTTGCACAGTGTGGACAAAGGCAGTGTCACCAACATTTCAGAGATACACGTTGCCTCCATCGTGAAGGCTGAGGTGCGCAAGGTACAGAAGTGTATATGTGAGTTTCTGAGAGACCCATAGGTGGATGGATTTCAGCTGTGCCCAGTCCATGGAAACAGGAACAGCAGAAAGACATAAAACATCTCTCTTTAGGGCCATGAAGTGCAACAAAAGTCATTGGCAACCCTGAAGATGAAGTCAGCATGTGCCTCTGAAACACCAGCAACAGTGTTCAGATCCATATGGTGCAAGGCCCAAGAGCAGAACCAACATTAACAACAAACCACTGTGAAATCTTAAATCGGTAAATTAAACATAAGAAAACTAACCTCCTTGGAAACCCCGTAATGCTTCCCTGAGCTCGGGGACAGTCTTGAGACACTGCACTGTGGCATTCATATAGCAGGTGTTACCAAGGTTCGTGAGCCCTGCTGGCATGTCCAGCTGAAATGATGATACAGTTCATGTGTAACGTAGTCACACTGGTAAATGGCAACTTCTGGTGACTTAGTAGCAACCCACACCACAATACATATTCCTTTAACTGACTTAACCTTTCTGACAGATTCTGTTTCATTTTCAGTCCTCATACTGCAACATATCTTGCAGTGTTTGAGAATTACATCCACAGTACAAAACACCACGCTCTCCAGGCAATCATATGTTGAGAAAAGTGACGTAACTTTTGTATATTTAAAATTTAAGTTTGCTTTCCTTCTTATGAGCTGGGAAGGCTCAGTCAGTAAAGCTACAGATTACTGGCTAGATGACTTGAGTTTGATTCCCAGAAGGGTCAGCAATTTTTCTCTGCCATCATGTACAGACTGGCTATGGGGCCCATCCAGCCTTTCATAAAATATGTACTAGGCATTATTTTCCCAGAGGGAAAAAGTCAGAGCTGATTTATTAGAAGGCATCCTGGTCCATCACACTATCTGACACATCAGTGAGCATCACCACCACTGGATGCCACCAATTTAATTACACAGAAACCTTTACATGTCTCTGTCCTTAAAAGACTATCATCAGAAGGTGCTCAACATGAGAGGAAGTGGCTTACAGATATCGAGGTCGGTTGTTCACCAAGTCCATCCTGTAGATATAATTAATTACATTTACATTTACAACAAAAGTAAGAGTTATTCAGGGTATCAGTGTTAAAGCACACAGCTGTTAATATGTTAAAAATATTTCAAAAGATTTTTAAAATTATTTTACATATATATATATAAAACTAAACTCCGTGGTTTTAGTCCTTGAGCGAACTATACCGACCGAGTGACTGTCATTTGTCAGCAAAGTTAGCGACAACTTTAGCGGATAGAGGGTGTTGGGTGGTCAGCGCAACGAATCCCCACTGTTGTTAATTTCGGTTATCTACACTGGATTTTACATGTATACATATTCATTTGTTGCAGAAGCTGTGTGTGTGGAGTCTTTGCATGTTAATCCTCCAGAATATCCTGTGTGTGTAGTGACTCGTTGTAGCTTGTATGGTGTGTTGTGTTGGACACTTGAGGTCAAGAGCTGAAACTGACCAATTATCTCATTTATACTGAGGTCATGGAAAGAAGTAACATGGACTAATGCCATCCAAAACTCCTTCGAGCTGTTCCACTGTCCTCTCTAATGGACTTCCCCATACTCCCCGCTCATCATCTCGCCATTCTGATCACAGGAATGTTGCCAGCAATAATCTATCCACAAGCGTTCTAAACCAGTTTAGACAAACCATAGGGGCTGGAGGAGAATATGGCAAACGATGGGGGAAGGACTCGATTAAAACCTTCCCCAACATCCGTGGGTTTCCTGTCCATGGCCTCGGTGTAGAGCCAAGGCTAAAATGCATGGAACTTTACCTACACTCCTGTACACACCTTCATGGAATGTTTACACACAGGGATGATTGTACACTTCATTCTGAATTATGACAATACATACACTGGTAAGTGGGTACCAGTGTTTCAGAGGAATACTGTCCCTCCACCTTCAGGGTCTACAGAAATACTGCTTACTTCATCATGACATTTTGCAGTACAGTGACATCTGAAAAAAATTAAATTAGGAGGACATGTGTAACTAACTCCAAGTTTACTCACAGCAGATGCCAGTTCACCCTCGTTCATGTCCTCAACAAACAAAGGTTTCTCTAATGGTTCTGTTGGAACATCTTCTTCTTTACTCCCCATCATCAGAACAGTCACACCCTGCACAAGGCAATATTGCTTCAAACTAACAAATTTCAATGCATTACTGTAAACATCAAACCACTGTCTCTTCTCTTAAATGCCAACTGCTAAATGTGCTACCTTTGTTCTGCATAAGAATAGCCATAGTGACGAAAGAAACGATTAACAAGTATTGTCTGCCACACCAGAAAACTGTGTTGGTGTATCTTTAAGTTGTATGAAAATGGTGTATATTGGATATACAATATTTATGCTTTAAACCAGAGGTTCTCAGGAAAAACTGCACTGTGGTCATATTTAAAAGTTACAAACATGGTCAGTGGCCACACAACTTAAAACTTGCAACTTTTTATATGTAAAACAGATAATGTAAAGAAGATTGTTACAAATGTTCACTTTAAGGGAGAGCCTGAGGAAGATCTGATTACCCTGATTTACAGCACATTACTGCATGTTCCTCCAAAGTGTACTGAAGGACACTTACATCCACCAATTCATTGCAATACTTAGTTTCCCTGAATTCAAAGTGAGGGGGTGCAGCCATATGGTACAGACCCACAACACCCGCATTAAAATAGTCACTGAATTTACAGATTTTGTGAAAATCTGTCTCAAAAACAGGAAAGGTTTTCGATACATCGCCCACTTATTTTGGTCACACAAGAGACAACTGATCTCACCATCAATAGAAGGATAAATATTGTAAAGGACTTGGAGCTTGGCATTTGTGGGATGTGGAAGCGGACTCAAGGAGGAAGGGATACACATTCCTGCATTCCTTGCAAGTCTCAACTGCAGTCAACTACACGTTTAACATAATATATATTTGCTACAGATGGAATTACAAAGGGTACTGACTTTTGGGATTTAATGCTGTGTAGTCCAGTAGGAGCCCATCGATTTTCAGAAGTACATATGGCATTACCCTTCAGCATCGAAGACTGACACAAGGAGGAAAACAGCAGGCAGCAAGAAAAGCCATTTCTTGCTTCGCTTATTCTACAGCCCTGAAGATGGAGGCAGTATGTCCCTCTGAAATGTAGGTGGACACTCACTGCACTACACAGCACTACATATCAGAACACAGCAATCTTCATAGGCAAAACTGTAAGAACCTCAAATACAAAATAACAATAATTTCCTGTACTTATTTACAGTCGAGGGACACGCGGTAGAATAGTTGGTTGAGGCGCTATGCTACAAGCCGGAAGGTGGTGAGTTCGATTCCCGATCAGGTCACTGGATTTTTCAATTGACCTGATGTTTCTAGCTGCATTATGGCCCTGGGGTCGACTCAGACTCTAACAGAAATGAGTGCCACGAATCTTCTTGGGGGTAAAGGGCGGCTGGCGCATAAGGCTGACAACCTCACCACCATCTGTGAGCCAATTGTCTACAAAATGTGGGAGCCTTGACGTCTCACAACCCTATGGGCCTCCATGACCTGTCACAGGGATAGTTTTATTTTTCACTAATTTTCAGTCTATTTAATGACACTGTTAATATCTCAGGTTACACAGCATAGAATGGTAAATCAGTGAATGATGAATTGGAATGGATACAGAAGGAAGTGGTTATGGCCTCACTTGAGTTATCTTGTCATCTGCATTAAGGGGCTAGAGGAGCCCACAGAGGCCTCAGTCAAGACAGTCACTGTCCTGGTCAAGATTCAAAAAGGCACCCTCCACAATTCAAAATAGGAATGTTACTGTTTTAACCAACTCATTCAAAAATTTCCTGTAACTTATAGCAAGATGGTGAATTCTGTTTCTGCTTATGACTACAGTTTTGGTGACCAACCGGTGGTGTGGGTTAAGATAATATCTAGGATTGATGCCATGCGGTTCGGTAAAGAGGCATTTTGGAGGAACCTGCAGCCTCCATTTTGAAGTGTCTTCCCTGCGTCACTAGCCTGAAGTTTGCAATTTTAATACACATCATGTGTTTGATTCAACGTACCATGCTGTTCATCTAACTTACATCTTTCAGTTTAATGTCTCCCCAGTCGGAGTCTTTCAATGTCGTTCCCTTTAGCATAACTTTCTGCCGCTCAGGTTGGACTCCTGTGAGAGCGAACAGCTGTGCTTTGAAGACAAGTGGGTCCTCATCAGTATTAACTTCAATATCAGGATAGTTCTCTTTTCCCCACTTCACTTTCACTGAAAGTGTCACGTTCATAACAGAAATAACATTACAAATCAATGAGCAATTGCCTTATTATGTGTGAAAGACAAACGGCTGTAACTTCAATACTTACACAGGACCTACAAATTGCAGGGAAATACTGGGAATAAAATCAATTTACTCAACACAACTTCTGACACAACATATTCTCTGCAATACAAATTAACTGAAAATTAACTCTTTAATAGTTGAGCCCTAAGGATGAACACTGCTAATACCACAGCCCGCCACTGGACATGATCCTGAGCAAGTTCCATCCACCTCCCATCCTCACAACCCACTTCCCTAATATCCATCTTACTAATTAACTAACTCTCTGGTAGCAGAACCTGAAGGTTAAACACAGCAAATACTAAAGCCTGCCACTGGACATGATCCTGAGCCAGTTCCATCCACCTCCCATCCTCACAGCCCATTTCCCTAAGATCCATCTTACTAATTAACTAACTCTCTGGTAGCAGAACCTGAAGGTTCAACACCACTAGTACCAAAGCACACCACTGGACACGATCCTAAGCCAATGTCATCCATTTCCCTTCCTCATAATCATTTTTACTAATATCCACTTTAATATTATCCTCCAATAACATTTCTTTCTACTAAGCTGCCTCTTTCTGAGAGGTCCATTCTTTATTACGTGTGCACACGTAGTAAAGAATGGCAGCGGCACGCACACAGAAAGACTACACAGGATAATACCTGCACAGTGTGCAAACAAGAACTAGCCGCTGCAGCACTTTAGACATAGGGCGAGTAACCGTAACAATTTTACATTTTAAAATTTAGAGAAAAATTTTAAAGGATTTTAAAAGTAGAACTAAAGATTTTATAGTGCTACTACAGGAAAGTCAAAATTAACGTGTGTAAAATAATCTACAAACCAGACAGATATCAACGAAGTTGATGTTGATAATAACAAGGAAAGTGTTTTTAAATGTTAAATTTTGGGCTGGGTGCAGTGTGACAGCAACGTGAGTGTTATACACCTGATGATGGCCGTCTGAGGCCGAAACATGTAGCGTAAAGGAGCAAGATCAAGGACACATAATATATTGTTTGCACTTGGGACGGAGTTTATATCATTATATCATTTCTCACCATAAGGTTAACCTGCAAAACAAAGAGTGACACCTTCCCTGTGCTTTATAATAAATAATAACAAATTAAATTTATATGGACCAAAAGGATTCCTTTTTGCTCATAATAATCAAGTATACTAACGTGACTGAAATATACTCTTACTACATATAGAAGAACCCTTCTTGAAAAGTCAATAGTTGCTCAGCCACTCAGTGTTTTATGAAACCTGAAAACTCATTACAGTCTTCATAAGAGCCTGCTTAGGCCTTGTAGTAGTAGTAGTTTAACGCCTGCCTAATTCCCAAGCTGATGGGCCATTCCTTGTCAGCTACTGAAATACAGTCAGAAAAACATAATCTTGCTCATGTGATATGCAGGGCCCCCTCTTATTACAAAAATAACATTCAACTACCACTTCATTGGATTTGCTTGAATGCAAAACACCTCAATTTAACAGATTAATTATAATAAAAGCCGTTTACTACATTATGAATAACATAAATACAAAAGTTACTAACATCATAAAAATTCACCTGATTTGGTAACATACATATACTACAGCAGTCGATATGTTTGCGTTGAAGACTGCATCTCATTCGAAATTTGGTTACAATCGGAAGCATTGTTTGCAAATACAGTTGCCTTCAGTGACGTGTGGTCAAATATTTATGTTACGGTGTTCCAGAGCACATTTGAATTTGCCTTTTAGAGGTTAGGCTTACCTTTATATGTTGGCATGATGCTATACGCAACAGTTTTATGCAAAATTTACAGAAATCCAAAATGTCTTCTTTTACAACGAAAAGAAGAAATATTTAATAAATAATTCTTCAAACGGAAAATATGTCACACAGGCCTATAATACAATAGTCAGCATCACTGCTCCTTTAGTTCCTACGCCACGGATCCCTGTCGTATATGTTACATTCCGTGCAGTTTAAGATTCTTTCACTTTCAGTTCTGTAACCTTTGGCAACTGCACCACCATTGGGCATGATGTTGTAGTTCCACTCTTCCTCGCAGATGGCAGAGATATAACTACCAAAAGGCTGTACGTCGAATTGCTGTCTCCAATTTGAAAGCTTCACAGTACCAAGTTTCTTTTCTGGACGGAACAAATGCTGAAAATGAAAATCAGTCCACCTGGAGTACAATTGTATGATTAGTACTGCGAATTGAAAGTCTTATACATGAACTGTCCCACAGGTAATGCCTTCAATTTTCATTACTTTAATTGATCTTCTAAAATCTCATTGCAATAATTTCCCATATACTAACGTTGTAATTTTCTGAATTGTTCTTACTGCACTTCATTAGTAGAACGGTGACTTCTAACCGCATTTTTAGTGGGGCAAAAGGATAAAATTTACATTATATAAAGTTTTATATTGTTTGGTTCTATAGTTACTGAAGTTCTTCAATTTCGACTCTTTTTTGGCTCCGTAAATTTAGCTCAATCCTCGATTTGTTAATGAGAAGTTTAATTGTCTCGATAATTTTGGATAGGAGGGAACAGACTGTAGCCTGTTTCTTTTTTCTGCCATTAATGCAATTTTTTAATTACCTCGTGATAGAAGCAAGTTTGAGTCGTGAGTTGAGAGCTGGGCATTTATATCAATCTTCGGGTTTCGAAACATGAACATTGCGCGCACTACCCATTTATTGTTATCAGGCCAAGAACTGTCTCACGCAACCTGTTTTGGCGCTCTCTATATGTTGTTCATTCTGAAGCAGGTACACACACACACCATAGCGACATTATACAACTGGGAACGGCCCCTAAATATCACCCAGCAGTCACATCACGCTTCTCCGACCTTATGCAGGTGCTGTCATCTGGCGACGTTAGACAGAAATACGAAGCGTCGTACCATTCTGAACTTGACGGTGTTGCGAGCCGATGGCCAGCAGTACTTGTTTAGGTGCTGTCTGCATGCGAGGCGAGGAGGTAGTACTCGTGTGGTGACGATAGCTTACATTAAATGCGAGTGTCATTTGTTGCACATTGTTGTGATTTACTTAATCTGTGGTCTCTTGTTCATTGACGGCAGAATTATTAGAAAACATGAATTGTTGCAATCAGTAGTGTTGTTAAACTGTGATTTCTTCAGTACGCGTCAATTGGACTTGGATGTATAAAGCCTGTGTTACAGAAGTTATTCTTTATATTCCGTCTTTTTCTGCCACGACCAGTTGTTCCGTATTAACGAAGAATAGTGGCTTCTTCTTCTTCTTCATGCTCATTGCTGGTTGCTAAGCAATTGTAAGGTGAGTGACCTGGCCTTCGGCGCTTCCACGCGTATAGTGCATGTACTAATGCGTGACTAAACGTTACAGCGGACGGAAAGAAACTGCAAAAATAAACCGACTTATACCTTCCAGATGTATCCGATTTCCCCACGAAAATTATTAATGCTTTTAATTGCGGTTCATGAAAGACATAGACTGTTTATATACCGGCATCGTAAATGTAAATAAGTTCTATTTATTTGCCTCGAGTGTTATGTAGCAAGTCCAAACTCAATATCTTACAAAAAGAAAGCTACAAATGAGGGGGACAAGATCGAAAATATGTTTAATTAGGTTCGCAAAGGCCTGACCTTGAGCCTAGATATCATTTTGCCGTTTATTAAGAACACAGTGTTTAAATTGATGTATTCTTTCTACACACTATCGTTAACTCACCTCCATAGGTTACGTATAAATGGCATCAAACGTGCAATTTTCGTCACTCGTGCAGCTAATACATTCTCGTTTCCTTTAATATTACATAATATCTAATCATCATTCCGTAAGATTTGAGGTTATCACACCTGTGGTTTTGAACAATACTATCTTCTGGGATATAAAGCTGTGTAGTCCGTTGAAAGTATTGCTTGCCTTCTGCTTTGACGCTGATTTCTTGCCTGGTTTATTCTTCGATCCTGAAGAAGGAGGCGACATGTTCCTCCGAAACGTCGATTGACTTTCAACGGGCCACACGGCGTTATATCCAAGAAGACAAAACACTTCATTCCATAACATGCTTGGGTTTCGTAGCAACAATAAATGAAATGTGAAAATTCACTACTGAACATTTTGGCTTCGATAAAAAAAGTTACCGTCAATTAGGAATCATATTCGGTACTTTTTGCGGAAAATGACATTTTCATCCCTCTGTGTTTCCGGGAGGAAATAAAATTGAAAAATAAAAGAAAGAAACAGCCCAAACATTAATTCCAAAAATTAAAATTAAAAAAAAAATATTCTCCTACCTTAAGTATTCTAGGGCAACATTGTCCCCGGGCTTAATTAATTAAGCACTACGCCATGAAGACATGTGAAGGGAGTGGAGATGTAGCTCCACAATTCTTGACCACGGCACTAAGTGGAGGTGAGTGGTCAGCTTCACGCCTCAGATGCTTTACCCCCATGGAAAGAGGCTCCTTACCCATTGAAAACGAGGCTGGGTGGGTCCCAGAGCCGGTCTGGACGCTGTGGTGTAGAGAAAAATCTCTTGCCCCGACCGTGCAGCCCGTCCATATACCGACTGAGCCATCCGAGTTCAAATATTCTACGGTAGTCAATAAAAAAAATAGCGTTAAATGGCTTAAGCATGTGATTGCAAGCAAATATTCTGCCCAACCCCTTTCATCCCCGGAGAAGAAAGTCTCGCAGTTTCCGTGCTCAAAGGCTTAAGGCATAAACTGCTTTCACTTTCGTTTCTCTTTAAGCTTTCATACAAAAGGGACCGGAAGAAAATCAATACATCTAATGCCTGCTCTCAGAGGCTTAGGCCCAAGTAACCTGTCAGAGAAGAAGCCCCTAAACCCCAAGACCGAGGATGTGATAATGTGCTGCCTGATCTGGGCTATCGCACAGCTCAGGGGGCAGTGATGTATGAGTGTGGAGCAATGGTAGAATGATGATCACCACGGAAAAACCGAAGAAATTCGTGCCATTTCAACCACCACTAATCTAGTGACTCGTTTCACGACACATTCAGCGTCCAGAAGATGTAGCGTCATGGTGACTCATGAATTGTAAGGGGTCCGAAAGGAAGCAGTTTGGCGTGTTGGAGGTACTATCCGAACGTTTGTCTGGCGGGACTGAGGAAAACGACGAATGTCTCGGGATAGTCAGTGTCCGGGATGAGATTCGAACCGACTTCCTTTCGGGTACAAGTCTAGAGCGCTGCCGCTAATCCAGCCTGTCTCATGAAGTCGCCCGGGATTCAATATGACGCCCAGTGGTGAGAATCCAGCTCCAAGCGTCGTGGGCTGTGACACTTCCTAGTTGCAGTGCATAAAACATTCATATATTTATACTTCCAGGCGTCTGTTTCGTCACATATCACGACGCGAACGCTGGGAATTCTGAGAACCGAAAAACCTTCCAGTAATATCCATGGCTTCTCACAGAGTCAAAAGACGTGGCGTGACGTCACTCTACCCGCCTGTGACACACCTTAATTATGATCTTAGGGATAGCTCAGTTGGTATAGCGACTGGCTACGGGCTGGATGGCCGAGAGTTCTGAGTTCGAGTACCGGTAGTGGCAACATCTTTCTCCTCTACATTTCGTCCAGACAGCCTCCTATGCTGTCGGTACAGGGGGCAAAGCGACCGGGGCTTGAAGCTGACCACTCACCTCCATCAAGTGTCGAGGTAAAGAATACGTGGATCTATACATCCACTCCCCCATACGTAGTCGTTAATTAGTTAAAGCACAGGGACAGATTTACCTTTTCTTAGGGTGTCTGGTCTCGATTTCTGGGGAGATGCTGGCTTCGAATCTCGGCTGGGACATCGGTCAGCGTGATTTTATTTTTCATGTTTTCTCTTAGTCCCTCCAGGCAAATTCCGGGATGGAACTTCCAGTTTATTCAGCAGTCGCCCTAACATTCGACACTGTATGCTACAGGAGCTGAGAGCGTCATGAGGAGGAAGTGCATGAATATACGTTCTGATTCGGACTGAATGCGAACTGAAGGCAGGCAACGGCCTGTCTCAGTTACCGTGCCACTGCCTTTCACTTTATTTTAATCATAATTATCTACACTTGCGACTCCAACACAGGGGAAAATCAGTCTCGGTTTCGTCGAGACAATCGATACATCGACATACATCGCAAGCTTGCAGGAGACAATTGCTAATCTGTGAATGTGACTAAGATGCGAAGATTGCGAACAGGTTACAACACTAATCTCACGTAACCTGGTAGGTACTGGGTTCGGATCTCGGCCAGGACACCGACTCTCCTGACTCGGGTTTCTCGTGATTTTTCTCAGGCCCTCAAAACCAATGCCTCTGTTATACAACGACCACTTCCTTCTAGATCCCTTACAATTTATGATTCATCGGTCACCCTAAATCCAACGTTGTACTGTCTGGATACCGGCAGCGTCGCATAATGCACCCCCGGGGAAAAGGACAATAGTCTCACATATTTATGTAACCCTTTAAACCCCAGTGGTTTCTGTATGTACCACCTGCTTTAACACACTAAAACCCTGCATTCTGCCCACGCAGTGTATCTGTGTGTTCCGTATGGTTCTCACAGCAAACAGCGACTGTTTCCCTAAACAGCAGTAACCGGTTGGGCTTTGTAGCAGTGACGTAATAGTTTCCTGTGAGGTACGGACTGAACACACTAAAACTCTGCATTCTGCCCACGCAGTGTATCAGTGTGTTCCATATGGTTCTCACAGCAAACAGCGACTGTTTCCCTAAACAGCAGTAACCGGTTGGGCTTTGTAGCAGTGACGTAATAGTTTCCTGTGAGGTACGAACTGAATTCTTATATATTATTCAGAAGAATTTCAGGAGTAGGGAAAGCGAGTAGGCTACTGGCTGAACGACCAGCTTCGGAGCGGGCAAAATATGTTTGTCTTTCCCACAGCTTTCAGACCGATTCCGTGGCCCACCCATTCCTGAAGATCGAGGAAGTATATTCCTCCGAAACGCCAGTAATCTTGTACCAGACTACATAGCGACATATCCCAGAAGGAAGAACTCTTCAACAAATTTATTTTTATGGAACCTAAGTAATTCATCAACTGCTTCAAAAAAGCCGGAAACTTGGTGCACTGTTTTACTTCGCTGTCATTAACGAGACTATATACCGTCGAAAGGTAAAAGGCAAAGCTATCCCTGTTACAGATAGTGGAGGCCCATAGGGTTGTGAGACGTCGAGGCTCCCACATTTTCTAGAGAGTCGGCTCACAGATGGCGGTGACGTCAGCCTTTGGCGCCGGCCGCGCTTTACCCCAGGAAGCCAAGTAACGAATTGGAAAGGATCTTAGAGGAATTAGTCGGGTCTGAATCGAGTTATTATCCCGTCATTTGTCTTGATGGCCTGAGGAAGACCACGAAAATCCTCAGTCAGGGTACCCGGCGACAGGGTCGAGAACCGAACCGACAACCTCCCAAACACGAGTTAGTACACGAACGCTTTCAAGAGAACCTTCCCACAGTCGTGCAGGTGTGCTGACGGACAGGGGCAGTTCCAGAATTCACCCACAAGGCCGCAGTGGGAAAGCAATATCAGAAGTGGACATTTGCCTGGTGACGTCATTTTGTCACGTGAAGGTGCGAGTGCTCACGAAATACCGGGATCAATGCAACTTCACTCTGATGGGGTTTCTGACCAGGGCGCCGCAGGGTCACCAGGACAGATTCTCGCTCGCACACATGTAGGACTGCCTTAGGGTCATCTGATCATATCTGTGGGGGGTTGGGGGGTGGAGATTTCGCCACGCTGTCAGTAGCTAGACTATATAGCGTCGAATGCTAGGACAGATGCATGGGAAAAGATATGGAAGGAGGCAGTCAAGGACTAATCGGGGTACTATGGTGGAATTTACCTGGAAGGACTGAATAAAACCACGAACATCGTCCGTAAAGACAGACAATGTCACAGCCAAGATTCAAACCGAGCACCTCCACAATGAATCAATAGCGTTACCGCTACGGTAACCCGCTAGGTACCAGGTTACAGTTTCAAGCAGGCAGCATCAGGGGAGTTTCAGGTTTCAATTTCGAGCAGGCAGGATTAAGGAAGTTCCAGGTTTCAATTTCAAGCAGCCATGCAGCACCAGGGAAGTTGCAGCTTTCAATTTCAAGTAGCCAGACAGCATCAGGGAAGTTTCAGGTTTCAATTTCAAGCAGGCAGGATTAAGGAAGTTCCATGTTTCAATTTAAAGCAGCCAGGCGGCATCAGAGAAGTTTCAGGTTTCAATTTCAAGCAGGCAGGCAGCATCATGAGAGTTCCAGCTTTCAAATCTCAGT